CCTCTCCCTCTCCTCTCCTCTCCCTCTCCCTCTCCCTCTCCCTCTCCCTCTCCCTCTCCCTCTCCCTCTCCCTCTCCCTCTCCCTCTCCCTCTCCCTCTCCCTCTCCCTCTCCCTCTCCCTCTCCCTCTCCCTCTCCCTCTCCCTCTCCCTCTCCCTCTCCCTCTCCCTCTCCCTCTCCCTCTCCCTCTCCCTCTCCCTCTCCCTCTCCCTCTCCCTCTCCCTCTCCCTCTCCCTCTCCCTCCCTCTCCCTCTCCCTCTCCCTCTCCCTCTCCCTCTCCCTCTCCCTCTCCCTCTCCCTCTCCCTCTCCCTCTCCCTCTCCCTCTCCCTCTCCCTCTTTCCTTTCCCTCTCTCCTTTCCCTCTCCCTCTCCTCCTCCCACTGCCCCTCTCCCTCCCCTCCCTCTCTCCATCTCCCCTGCTCCAACCTCCCCTTCTTCTCTCCTTCTCTTGGTCTTTCCCTCTCTCCCTCTGTTTCTCTGCCTTTCAGATAAATAATTTTAAAAGGGGGTCTTCAGGTTTCAGCATATCTGGCACTGTTTGTTGTCTTTGTGTATGAAAGCATCTTAATTGGGTATAGAGTTCTTAAAAACTTTTCACTCCAGTTCCTGAGGACTGTCTTCTACAAAGCACTGGCATCACATTTAGACATATGAGATGCCTTTTTGTCCCCAGTCTTTGTGTCGTTACATTTTTGTCTGTGTCTAGATATCCTCAGGATTTAAACTCCACACTAGGTTATATCTAGGAGTCCGTTTCATTAATTCTGTCTGGGTCCTACGTAGAGGCTTTTGGTTTAAAAGTGCAAGTCTTGGCCGGCGCCGAGGCTCACTAGGCTAATCCTCCGCCTTGCGGCGCCGGCACACCGGGTTCTAGTCCCAGTCGGGGCGCCGGATTCTGTCCCGGTTGCCCCTCTTCCAGGCCAGCTCTCTGCTGTGGCCAGGGAGTGCAGTGGAGGATGGCCCAGGTGCTTGGGCCCTGCACCCCATGGGAGACCAGGAAAAGCACCTGGCTCCTGGCTCCTGCCATCGGATCAGCGCGGTGCACCAGCCACAGCACGCTGGCCGCGGCGGCCATTGGAGGGTGAACCAATGGCAAAGGAAGACCTTTCTCTCTGTCTCTCTCTCTCACTGTCCATTCTGCCTGTCAAAAAAAAAAAAAAATATTCACCTAACTCTCATCTACTTTTTTTTCATTAAGATTTGAATACATGTGAGGCTTTATTTAAAAGATTACAAACAGTTGAAAATAGTTTCCACATCCCACCAGGGCAGCGCCCATGTTTGCTTGGGAGACCCATCATCCTCATGCCTTGCTTAATAAATGCTTTTTTTTTTTTTTTTAATTTGAAAGACAAAGTTACAGAGAGAGGTAGAGACAGAGAGGGAGGTCTTCCATCTGCAGGTTCACTCCCCAGATGGCCAAAATAGCCAGAGCTACACCGATTCAAAGCCAGGAGACCGGCCATGGCGGCCATTGGAGGGTGAACCAACGGCAAAGGAAGACCTTTCTCTCTGTCTTTCTCTCTCACTGTCCACGCTACCTGTCGCATATGAAACAGAGATATGGGCAAGTCTCCCGCTCTAGGCGTCCATTCCAGTCCAGCGTGTTTTCAGCTCTGTTCCCTTGCATCCACACCTCTTTTTCAGGCACTCTCCTGAGTGCATCTCTTCATCTTCTCAGTGTCAGGAGTTTGCAAGCCGGTTCCCAGATTCCATGTGTGCACCCATGGGTCTGTTGTCTACTCTGCTCAAGCATACATGTAAGCAAGGGATGAGTCGCAGAGCCAAGTTGGTGGATCATTGCATGGTTTGCAGCCAGCAAGGCAGCCTCCAGACCAGGAATCAGAACTGGACCGTCCCAGGAGAAGCCCCCAGTGGCCCCCTGAGAGGCACAAGACAGGCAGCTCCCCTTGGCGTCACCCTGAACAGTTCCGTCCTGGCTCGCTGGCTGCGTCTCCCACCTCCTGGAGGGCTTCTCCTCCAGCACCCCGCCCTCCCCGCCTCTGCCACCCAGGTGGTTTTGGGTATTGCCCAGGGCCTCTTGCTTGTTGGTGGCTTTGTCGTTTTGTCTGTATTTGAACCACTGAGGAGCTGAGACAACCCGGATTCATCTATTTACGGTCTTGCAGAAATTGCTGAGGTGTCCAAGGTGCTTCTCACACCTTTCCCTTTGCACCAGGGACCTGCAGGCTTCCCCACCCCCTCTCCCATTGGATATATATATATTTTTTTAAGGTTAATTTATTTATTTGAAGGGTAGAGTTACAGACAGAGGGAAAGACATATATATAGAGAGAGGTCCTTCATTTGCTGGTTCACTCCCCAAAGGGCCGCAATGGATGGAGCTGCGCCGATCCAAAGGCAGGAGCCAGGAGCCGGGTGCTTCTTCCCAGTCTCCCACACGGGTGCAGGGGCCCAAGGACTTGGGCCACCTTCTACTGCTTTCCCAGGCCATAGCAGGGAGCTGGATTGGAAGTGGAGCAGCTGGGACTCGAACCACCACCCTTATGGAATGCCAGCGCTTCAGGTGCCCTCCCCCCATTTTGATATTTATTTTGTCTGTGTTATGAGGGCAGGACACTTATCCCCTGAGCCAACTTCATTTAATAGGAATTCTTGGTTGTACTTTGACAAACCCTCCTTGAGGAGCAATGACAAAGATTCAAGGCTGTGCCACATCTCCTTGTAATCACCATAGCTCATCATTTGTTACCGCAGTGAGTCTCTTTCTTTTTGATCTTAGGTTCTCTCAAAATTACTGAATATCCCATTGAGTGTTTTTTTAAAATATGGGTTATATTGAGCATATAGGTTGTTATTTGGATTTAAGGTACAAGCCTTTAAGCCATATGGTTACGGAAGCACACATCCTGTTACTTAGCCTTAAGGGTAATGGCCTCATCACCCATCCTGCAGCCTCTGGGAAATTCTACTGTAGATCAGTAGAAGAATGGGAGTGAAATAGTTTTGTAAAAGGTGTTTATTTTTTTCATCTACTTGAAAGGCAGAGTGTCATGTGTGTGCGTACCCACACACAGAGGAAGAGAGATTTTTCATCTGCTGATTCATTCCCCAAATGCCTGCGATAGTCAGGGCTGCACCAGGCCAAAGCCGGGAGCCAGGGACTCCATCTGGGTCTCCCCTGTGGGTGGCAGGGACCTAAGCACTTCAGCCATCACCTGCTGCCTCTGAGGGTGCATCAGTAGGAAGCTGGATCCAGAAACAGAGCAGCCAGGATTCACACTGGTACTCAGATATGGGATGCTGGCATTGCAAACTTCGGCTGAACCAGACCTGTTCCATGTCACAAGACCTGCTCCAGGAAACAGTTTTGACTCTGTAGACCCTTTGAGCCAGGCTCAGGGTACCCCAGGGGTTCTCAGTCCGCACTTTGAGATCTCTTGCTTCCTGCCTGATTCATTAAGCCTCTGCTTGACATTGTTTGCTGGGTGTGTGCACACACACCTGCTGTGGGCATGGAGGTGGGCTGGGCGACCTTGAAGGCAAGTTTGACTTCTAAGGCAGCAGCGCCTTCCTGAAATGTTTGAAGTTACTGCCTGTAGGCTTACTATTTGGGAGTGGAGTGGAGCCTGTACCATATACCATCCCTTTTCCTACAATTTTCTGGGGAAAAAAATCTCAGATTTTAAAAAAAAAGACTTGATTTAATTGAAAGGCAAAACTACACACAAAGAGAGAGAAATAGAGAGAGATCTTCCATCCACTGATTCACTCCCTAAATGGCCGCCATGGCCAGGACTGGGTCATACTGAAGCCAGAAGCCTGCAAGTCCATCCGGGTCTCCCACCTTGAGCACTTGAGCCATCTTCCACTGTGTTCCCAGGGGCATTAGCAGGGAGCAGAGCAGCTGGCTCTCGACCAGCGCTCTTATGGGATGCCAGTGTCACAGGTGGCTGGCTTAACCTGCTGAGCCACAATGCAGACCCCTCAGTCAGGTTTTAGACAGGGCTGTGAGTCTCCTGCTTAGGCCCCTGTTGCTGCAATGGCCCCAAGGGTCTAGACCTCAGCTCCGCCAGAACCCGTGAAACTGCGTGTGGTTTTTGGAAGTAAGGTCTGTAATTTTCATCAGATTTTTCAAGAGTCCCCTTATTTCTCACTGTAACTTCAGTGTAGGGGAATAGACCTTAAAGTTCTTAGAGACCTGAGAACATATCACGGTTGGAAGGGCTGAAGAGAAACATCACTTGTTGGCCGGCACCGCGGCTCACTAGGCTAATCCTCCACCTTGCGGCACCGGCACACTGGGTTCTAGTCCCGGTCGGGGCACCGGATTCTGTCCCGGTTGCCCCTCTTCCAGGCCAGCTCTCTGCTGTGGCCAGGGAGTGCAGTGGAGGATGGCCCAAGTGCTTGGGCCCTGCACCCCATGGGAGACCAGGAGAAGCACCTGGCTCCTGCCTTCGGATCAGCGCAGTGTGCTGGCTGCAGCGCGCCGGCCGTGGCGGCCATTGGAGGATGAAACAATGGCAGAGGAAGACCTTTCTCTCTGTCTCTCTCTCTCACTGTCCACTCTGCCTGTCAAAAAAAAAAAAAAAATCACTTGTTACCTAATTCAGTTTACAGATCATCGTCACCTCACTGTAAGTTAATCCCACAGCAACATATCCATTTGTGTCTCGTTCGGAACATGCATGCGTGGCTGTTCCCACGCATACAGTGGTGGCCTGGCTCCCTGGATGTCCTTGTTCCAGGTTAGGGCTCATCATTGCAGCCGTGGTCACTTGTGTCTTTGCTCATAGCTGCTTCCAGGCAGGCTTCAGTGAGTGGACAAAGCCAGGGGCTCCACGTTTTGGTCTCCATCCATCCTGCAAAGTTGAATGGACTTTCCTGCATTTCTTCTGTTGAACCTGAGGACTGTGATTGGCAATGCCTTGACTTGGGAAGCACTTAGTGAACTTTGCAGTGTGAACCCCGTCCTGTTGGAGGCTTTATGTTCCAGGGGTTCTGGCTGTAATTAACCCCTCTGTCTGGGTTTTCCTGCAGGTTCCCCGTGAGCAGTCCCTGCTGGTGCACCAGACCTCCCGGGGCCCATCTGCCCGACTGCCCCAGACTCCGGCAGCGGGGCCCCTGATGGCAGTGGGCACCTCCCCGTGAAACCTGCCAAGCTGGACGCCACAGCTCCGCGCGACGACACTTTGGCCAGCTCCGTGCCCCCTTCGGAGACTTGCAGCCATGCAGTCCTAGCCTGCAGCCCAGGCCTCCCTGAGGAACACTACATAAGCGAGGCTGTGGAAGATGCTCCCAGCTACAGAGGGTACCGAGATGCCTGCACCATTACAGGTATGGGGGTCCTCTCTCTGTCGGGGAGGGAGGGAGGTTGCCATCAGTGAAGGTGGGGGAGGTGCATGCATTGGGATCACTGAAGTACAAGAGGGTCCGGGATTCAGAGGCCTCCCAGCTAGCACCTGCTCTGCAACGATGACTGGGTCAGTCACGGACCCTGTCTGACATGTAGACAGCCCTCCCTAGGATCATCGTGAAGGTTGCCGATGAGGACGTTGGACCCTGAGCCACAGGCATGGCCCACAGCAGATGCCCGGTGTAGTGGCTCGGAAGAGAGGCTGGGGAGAACGGCATGTGGAACAGCAGCAGGGAGCAACGTCTCGGTTAAATCGCATTGCATTCTTCTAGAAAGCTGATGCCTTTTGAGTTTTCGATTGCAGTGTTTTGCTTTTGTCCTCCTTTCTGAAGTAATGCCCAATGAGGGTCTGAAACGTGCAGATTTGCTTCCCATAAGGCCTCGTGGTTGTGTGTTCCCAGTTAGGCTTTGAGGGCTTCCTGTGTCTCAGATGTTCCTTGGCTGCAGAGGTGTGTGGAACAGGCCTGGGAGCCCAGCCTGAGCTGGCACTGTACTGGGCCTGCACATCTTTGCTCCCTCAGGTGGGCCACATGCTGGCCACCGTGTGGGCACCGAGCCCTGCTCTTGCCTGCCTGCTGCCCCAAGACACATTTCACCACGTGTCCCCTCTCTCCGCGTCATCCACATCCCGTCATCCACGGATCTTTCTTGCTTGCCCCCAGAGGTACTGAAACAGAATCCTCGGCTCTGCTTCCTCCTGCAGCCCAGTGCCCCGTGCCTCCGTTGGCTTACTCCACTCCCTCTTCTGCTCTCCCAAGTCCACTGCAAACAGCACCTGTAGCGCTGAAGACCTGCTGCAGCCCGGGGGTCTGTCCTCTGTGTCTTTGTCTTTGCCTGCAGATGCTGACCCTGTCAGCCTCTCCTTTCTCCTGGAAACAGGTTTCTGGGCCACCCCAGCTCTCCCAGTCCTTCTGCCTCCGTGGCTGCTGCTCCTCTTCTCCCAGCCCTGGGAACTCTGGATGGGCCGGGGCTTGGCCCTTCTGACCTTGGTTGTCCTGCGTGGGCCCAGGCACCAGGCGACCTCACCTCACCCAGCACTGAGATGTTCAGCTCTGCCCATGTCCTGGCTGCTCTGCAGTGTCTGTCCTCTGGCTGGGCCTCCTGCTCACTCCACTTCCACGTTCGCCACTTGATGCCAGGCAGGCCATTCACCTGCTCCCATCTCCCCCTGCAGCTGCCTTGCTTGGGTCCCTTGCGTCTTTGTGAATGGTGCTTGCATTGCTTGGGTGGCCCAGGCCAAACTCCTCCTGGGTGTTTTTGACCGCCGTCTTTGCCTTCACGCCCGGGTTGCCAAGAGCCTGCCAGCCCCCTCTTCAAGAGCTTGGCCAGGGTTTGACCGTTTCTTGTGGCTCTGCAGTAGGCTCCCTGTTCCGAGTTTGGGATTCTGCAGAATGTTCCCTATCACACCTTGAGGATTGCAGTGGCCTCTCTAGGGGGGCACCTGCTGCTCCCCCCACCCCGCCACATCCAAGCAATCTGTTCCCCACTCAGCCACAAAGATGGGTTTTGTCGGTACAATGTCCGATGCTTTGATTCACCTCCAAACCTCCAGTGGGCTCCCGCCTTCCAGTGGCCTCTCAGGGTCTGTGCGAAGGGGCTCCCCTGCTGACTACCGACTGTATCCCCTGGGCCCACGCCACATGCCCTTTGTTCCTGCTGCTGCCCTTAGGCCTGAGTCACCTATTAACCCGAGATGTCCTGGTGGCCCCCTCCCCTCTTCTCCCCAGAGGCATTTCATCAAGGTTGCCATCAACCTCAGAGAGAGTGCTCCACCTGCATCCTTCCCTGTCTTCCTGCCCCGCTTTCTTTTTTCCCCCAGATCTAACCATCCCCTGAGCCCCTGCATGTCTGTATTTCCTCGGCCACACGTGCAGTAGAACATGAACTCCTTTATGTCTTATGTACCCCTGAAAGCCCGAGACTGAAAGAGCTTCTGCCTGTGCCCAGGGCCCAGTGAATCTTTCTAGGGTGAATACATCACTATTTCTCAGCACTGCGGCCCCGTGGAGGTGGGTGTCATCATCCCCTTTCTGCAGGCGAGAAATCAAGACCCAGAAGCTTCTGCAATTGCCTGGGTGGCAGGAGTTGCATCCAGGTCTGTGTGTTTCCCACCACCTGAGAGTGCAGTCTAGTAGAAGAGCAAGGGGACAGGTGACCTGGTGAGTGCAGTGAGGAGGATGGGCACACGGGAGGTACCAAGAAGGGTGCCTGGCTGAGTCTTGGAGAGGACGGGATGGGGGGCGTGCCAGGAAGGCTTCCTGAAGGAGGTGGTGTCCAAACTGTAGCTCTGTTTGTGCAGCGGTGCGAACTGACCCCTTGGACTCCCAGTGGCATCAGTATGCGCCAAGGACAGGACACATCCAGACTGTTAAAGTTGTGTCCCCTTTGTCTGAATATGACAGCCCAGGCTGCGACGCTGACCCTCAGGGCTCCAGTGGGGCCAGGGCTGCTCAGGTTCCTTGCTGGGATGTCCGTGGTGAGCACGGGACGACAGCTGCGAGGCGGGGCTCTGTGCTCTCGTGCCGGGGGAACAGGAGTGAAACACAGCCCCTGGCAGCGCTGATGCTGTGGGGCAGCTGGAGGGTGTCGCAGTTGCTCAGACGAAAGCCGAACGCCGTGCGAGGTGGGCCCTGAGAGGGAGGCACGCAGCAGGAGAAGCCTTGGGGGCAGCCTCGCGTGTCCCCGGGAACGCGCCTGTGCACTCCCGGGATCCCGGGACACCACTTGGCTGGCAGCTCCTGGTGAATGCCCCCGCCCCCGGGTCCCCGTGAGCCCTGCGGGGAACAGCAGGCCGTTTGTTCACTTCAATTCCTAAGCAGAGCTGCCTGCCCCCTCTTCTCTGCCAAGGCCCTGCCTCTTCCCATGCCACCCCCCCCCAGCCACCCTAACCCAGGGGTGTCACCTTTTTGGGTGCGTCATTTGCTGTCTGGGGCGGTTGAACAAGATGAGCCGATAGAGTTCCCAGGCCGCCTGTGGTTACGTAAGCCCCTGTGCTCCCAGGGCAGCTCAGAGTCCTAGGATTTGCCCCAACAGGCCAACACAGAGCACTGCCGACGAGCCCGGGAGGGTGGCCAGGCCGGCCGGGAGGACCTCTCCTCTCTCCCACTGGCCTTGGAGTCTGCCACTGGGTGCACATGGCCTTGGGGGTTCACATCGGGCAGCCCGCCGGGGCCCCGTGTCTGCCAGGACTCGGCCAGCTCTTCGGGACCCACGCGCGTGGTAAGTCTGCTTGCCGGGTGTGCCTGCCGGGAAGGAGAAAGGCCACGGGAGAGTGGACCTCTCGTGCGTGTGCTCTGTGCTGCTGGCAGGTTTTCCATGACTGTTTGGTGGGGAAACTGTAATACTGAATGATTGACAGGCAGAGCAGGGGGGCTTTGGAGGCTGCGCTCTTGTCCGGGCGCAGAGGAGGCCAGTGGCCCCAGCAGTGTGCAAGCATAGGGCTGCCACCCCTTCCCCTTCAGGGCACTTTGCAGACCCCAGACAGGGTCTCTAAGCCTCCTCCACTCCCACCTGTGGCCTCCCCAGCCCTGCCATGTTTCCAGTCCTCTGCCTCTGTTCTGGTTTCTTTGGCCTGGGGTCTCTGGTCAGCAGGGAATTTTTCAAAGGGCAAAGGACACAGCGAGACAGTGTCTGCCTCCCTCCTCCCCACCCCTTCCACCCTTACCGTCTTCATTTTCTGCACTGAACGAGCGGCTGATGGAGAGCTGGCGGTGGCTTCTGTGCCAACTCGCCCCCCTGGGCATCTCTTCCTGCTTCCTTGAAACTGATCCGAGTCCATGACCCATCCCGGTTCTGTCCCCATGGCTATCTGGGTCAAAAAAACAGTGAATTCCTAAGAGGTATAAGCAGTTTTTGTCCTGTTCCAGTCAGTTGTAAGTCTGAAGGCAGAAAGGTTTTATTCAGTCTTTTTTTAAAAAAAAGTTTATTGAGTCTTTTAAAAAAAAAGATTTTTTTATTTATTTGAAAACCAGAGTTACAGATAGGGAAAGATTGATCAATTGATTTTCCATCTGCTGATTCACTCCCCAAATGACTGCAATGACCAAGGCTGGACCAGACCAAAGTCAAGAGCTTCCTCCGGGTCTCCTGTGTGGGTGCAGGGGCTCAAGCGCTGGGGCTGTCTTCCCGCTGCTTTCCCAGGTCATCAGCAGGGAACCTGGGTGGGCAGTGGAGCAGCCAGTACGTGGGACGCAGGCATTGTAGGTGGCGGCTTTACCCGCCTTGCCACAATGCCACCCCCGAGTAAGACGCTTTAAACGTGCACGGGTCGGTGATGTACGTGTTGAACCAGCATGTGCCCAGAGCCAGCTGCTTGCTGGGGCTTGTGTTCACGGCTGGGATCCGTCAGCGAGCGCTGGTGTGGGCAGTGATCCATTGGCTGTCAGCTCGGTGAGAGTGGCCAGGGTGAAGCAGATTGTAGGGGCACAACCTTGGCAGGAGTGCCCTGTACCTAAGCGCCCCCATTCCACAGTTTGTTCCTTTGCTGTTCACCAGCGTAAGTCTCCAGGCTTGAAGTTTTGGATCCTAAAAACATCCCGGGGTTCTTGCACACTTTCATTAAATTTCAGGTTGTATCATTTCTGCCCAGTGTCTTTTTTTTTTTTTAAATTTAAAGAGAGAGAGCGCTCCCATCTGCTGATTCATTCCTCAAATGCTGAACCTAAAGGTGTGGCAGGAGCCAAAGCCTGGAGCTGGGAGCTTAGTCCCGATTCCCCAGGGGGAGCGGCAGGAACCCAGTCACTGAGCCGGCACTGCTGCCTCCCTGGGTCTGCA